CTTTTAAGAGGACGAAGAAGAAGCCCGTGGTGCATTTTGGGTCAGTAGCATGCCCGTAGGATGCACCGAGACCAACCTACAATGTGGGCGTGTCTAGCATCTGAAGTTGTATCTGAAGTAGCATGCTACTCGCTCCGGTGGCCAATTCGGACATGCTAGATACTACTTCGACTACTACTTCGACTACTACTTGGCAATTCGGACGCAGCTCTGGAGTTAAGCATGTGCACGCCAGACATAAACAGCCAGCATCTGTGGAGCCCAGATTCATTGATCAACCAATGGAAACAGGGAGTAGGAAGGCAGCATTTTTTACGCAAGTGGAGCTGGAAGTACTGATGCAAGCCAACGGCGAATTAAGGCACGTTTTTAAAAGAAAGTGCAATACAGCAGCAGCTGCAAAGGAGAGGGAGAGGGCATGGGAGGAAATTGCTGCTCGTGTCAATGCGTAAGTTTAAATCACAATGACAGACTGTTGCAGGGGAAACTGCGTGCATGGAGCCAATTAATTTATTTTATGTAGGTGCAATCCAGCGGGACAAAAGTGCACTTGGCAGCAGCTGAAAATGAAATATAAAAACATTGTGCAAACAGGTGAGACATCTGCATTTTCTCATTTTGATCATGTTTTACATTGTCAAGTAAGTTTTAAGTGGCAGTTTGATCTCTTACAAAATGCTCCTTTCACACTCAAAAATGAATTTTACTCTCTTACGATGTTCTGTTAAATGATGAGGAATATTAAACTAACTCTCAGTATGTATATGTATATATATTAAACTAACACACAGAACACTCAATATTAGACTTTAACTCAGCAAACAGAAAGAGGGCAGATGCCAGAAAAACGGGTGGTGGCCCAGCAGCCCCACCTTTAACGGAGGCAGAGGAGCCTCCGTTAAAGGAGGCCCCCCCCCCTTTGTGAAACGGAAAATTCAGAGTTTCCCTTTCCCAGACTCTGAGTTTCCATTAAACCTGCTACGTGAAACGGACCTCAGGACGAAAGTGAGCAAGGAGGTCAGATTATCAGGTCAACTGCTCAAACATTTCAGATCCTCACAAAGGGGGTGTACCCAGGTCATAGAAAATTACCAGATTTATATCTTAAAGAAAAAAAATCTTAAAAGGTAAAAGGGATGAAAAGATTTTGAAATATGTTGTGTTGTAATAATCATTAGGGCGCGAGAGCCCTCTTGTTAGGGCCCGAGCGTAGCTGCTAAGCAGCTGCGAGAGCCCTATTATTCCCCAAGTGGTTTTTCTTTGTTTCTTTAGGGCCCGAGCGTAGCTGCTAAGCAGCTGCGAGAGCCCTATTATTCCCCAAGTGGTTTTTCTTTGTTTCTTTAGGGCCCGAGCCAGCTGCAGAGCAGCCGGGCGTAGAGCCCTATTATTCCTGTAGTGGTTTTTCTTTGTTTCTTTAGGGCCCGAGCGTAGCTGCTAAGCAGCTGCGAGAGCCCTATTATTCCCCAAGTGGTTTTTCTTTGTTTCTTTCTTTCTTTCTTTAGGGCCCGAGCGTAGCTGCTAAGCAGCTGCGAGAGCCCTATTATTCCCCAAGTGGTTTTTCTTTGTTTCTTTAGGGCCCGAGCCAGCTGCAGAGCAGCCGGGCGTAGGCCCTATTATTCCCCAAGTGGTTTTTTAGGGCCCGAGCGTAGCTGCTAAGCAGCTGCGAGAGCCCTCTTGTTCCTGTAGTTTCCTTCTTTTGTTATTAGGGCCCGAGCGTAGCTGCTAAGCAGCTGCGAGAGCCCTCTTGTTCCTGCATGTTTCCTTCTTTAGGGCCCGAGCCAGCTGCAGAGCAGCCGGGCGTAGGCCCTATTATTCCCCAAGTGGTTTTTCTTTGTTTCTTTCTTTCTTTTTTCTTTTTCCTCCCCTTTGAACTGGAAAATGGCCCACTTCCCACTGGCGAAAACTCATGAAATTTGGCAGGACGACCGGGCCTGGTGAAAAATTCGATATTCTGAAGTCGCCCAAACAATAAAATGCAAAATGGCTCCATAGCGCCCCCTAAGGTGGAAATTCACACTATTGACTGTCACGCCTGTACGCTTTGTCATATTGACACAAAAATTGACACACATATGTATCTCAATAAGATCTACAAAAAAGTCAGTGCGGCCGTATCTGTCAAAATTACGGTTAAAGGGTTATTTCGCATTTTTTGCCGATCCGCACACATTGGAATTTCGCTAACTCCTCCGAAGGCTTTCGTTCCACCGGCACCACATTTGCTCAGGCCAATCTACACCCCGTGGCCATTAAAAGTTATCAAAATCATGACGCTGCACCCCAAGGTTTAGGTTCTAGGGGGCGCCAAAGATAACACTAAAATCCACATATTTAAAAGTCTTATAACTTTTTATTTTTGTCCTCACTGGCCTCCAAGTTTTCTAGGATGATGCAATGTCCAGCCATCAACACATTTGTGAAGGAATTTTTACTCCCCAAAAGAGCGCCCCCCATGGCAGGAGAAAAAAGTCCATTTTTTCTTGTCCCCTAAGGTGAAAATACACATTGTTGAGTGTCACGCCTATACGCTTTGTCAAAATGACACAAAAATTGACACACACATGTAACTCAATAAGATCTACGAAAAAGTCAATGCGCGCGTATCTGTCAAATGTACGGTTAAAGGGTTATTCCGCATTTTTTGCCGATCCGCACACATTGGAATGTGGCTAACTCCTCCTAAGGCTTTCGTTCCACCGGCACCACATTTGCTCAGGCCAATCTACACCCCATGGCCATTAAAAGTTATTCAAATCATGACGCTGCACCCCATGGTTTAGGTTCTAGGGGGCGCCAAAGATAACCCAAAAATCCACATATTTAAAAGTCTTATAACTTTTTATTTTTGTCCTCACTGGCCTCCAAGTTTTCTAGGATTATGCAATGTCCAGCCATCAACACATTTGTGAAGGAATTTTTACTCCCCAAAAGAGCGCCCCCCCATGGCAGGAGAAAAAAGTCCATTTTTTCTTGTCCCATAAGGTGAAAAAACACATTGTTGACTGTCATACCTGTACGCTTTGTCATATTGACACAAAATTTGACAATCACATGTATCTCAATAAGATCTACGAAAAAGTCAATGCGCGCGTATCTGTAAAATGTACGGTTAAAGGGCTATTTTGCATTTTTTGCCGATTCGCACACATTGGAATGTGGCTAACTCCTCCTAAGGATTTCGTCCCACTGACACCAAATTTGCTCAGGCCAATCTACACCCCATGGCCATTCAAAGTTGTAAAAAATCATGACGCTGCACCCCACGGTTTACGTTCTAGGGGGCGCCAAAGATGACCCAAATATCCACATTCTTAAAAGAATCCACATCCCCCCCATCCCCCATCCCCCATGGCAGGAGAAACAGTCAAGTTTTTCCTGCCCATCACTCAATGGCTCAATCGCATCACTCTCCCGGCAACACCGTAACGAGGAGCAACTTGCCGTTTGGATATATCCTAGCTGTGTTTGTGCCCTCACTCATGGTCCAGACTTTTTTCAAATAGGACATGTTGTTTGTCTGCAGCGAGTGTTTTAGTAGAAACTGCGCCTCCCATTCATTATAATGGGAAATGACCACAGACAAGTGCGCACACCATCTTTGGACCTTGAGTGTGACGCGATCGGGAGGGGGAGGCGGTCGCGCTGGGGGCGGCGCAATGCGGCTCGGGCCCGACAGTGCCCCACCGGGGTCCTAGTTATTAGGGCCCGAGCGTAGCTGCTAAGCAGCTGCGAGAGCCCTATTATTCCCCAAGTGGTTTTTCTTTGTTTCTTTTTTCTTTTTCCTCCCCTTTGAACTGGAAAATGGCCCACTTCCCACTGGCGAAAACTCATGAAATTTGGCAGGACGACCGGGCCTGGTGAAAAATTTGATATTCCGAAGTCGCCCAAACAAGAAAATGCAAAATGGCTCCATAGCGCCCCCTAAGGTGAAAATACACATTGTTGAGTGTCACGCCTGTACGCTTTGTCAAAATGACACAAAAATTGACACACACATGTATCTCAATAAGATCTACAAAAAAGTCCATGCGCACGTATCTGTCAAATGTACGGTTAAAGGGTTATTCCGCATTTTTTGCCGATTCGCACACATTGGAATTTCGCTAACTCCTCCGAAGGCTTTCGTTCCACCGGCACCACATTTGCTCAGGCCAATCTACACCCCATGGCCATTAAAAGTTATTCAAATCATGACGCTGCACCCCACGGTTTAGGTTCTAGGGGGCGCCAAAGATAACCCAAAAATCCACAGTCTTAAAAGTCTTATAACTTTTTATTTTTGTCCTCACTGGCCTCCAAGTTCTCTAGGATGATGCAATGTCCAGCCATCAACACATTTGTGAAGGAATTTTTACTCACCAAAAGAGCGCCCCCCCATGGCAGGAGAAAAAAGTCAATTTTTTCTTGTCCCCCAAGGCAAAAATACACATTGTTGAATGTCACGCCTGTACGCTTTGTCATATTGACACAAAATTTGACAATCACGTGTATCTCAATAAGATCTACGAAAAAGTCAATGCGCGTGTATCTGTAAAATGTACGGTTAAAGGGCTATTTCGCATTTTTTGCCGATTCGCACACATTGGAATTTCGCTAACTCCTCCTAAGGCTTTCGTCCCACTGACACCAAATTTGCTCAGGCCAATCTACACCCCATGGCCATTCAAATTTGTACAAATCATGAAGCTGCACCCCACGGTTAAGGTTCTAGGGGGCGCCAAAGATGACCCGAATATCCCCATTTTTAAAAGTCTTAAAACTTTTTATTTTTGTCCTCACTGGCCTCCAAGTTTTCTAGGATGATGCAATGTCCAGCCATCAACACATTTGTGAAGGAATTTTTACTCCCCAAAAGAGCGTCCCCCCATGGCAGGACAAAAAAGTCAATTTTTTTCTTGTCTCCTAAGGTGAAAATACACATTGTTGAGATTCACGCCTCTACGCTTTGTCATATTGACACAAAAATTGACACACACGTGTATCTCAATAAGATCTACGAAAAAGTCAGTGGGCACGTATCTGTAAAATGTACGGTTAAAGGGCTATTTTGCATTTTTTGGCGATTCGCACACATTGGAATGTGGCTAACTCCTCCTAGAGCTTTCGTTTAACCGACACCAAATTTGCTCAGGCCAATCTACACCCCATCACTTTTTATTTTTGTCCTCACTGGCCTCCAAGTTTTCTAGGATGATGCAATGTCCAGCCATCAACACATTTGTGAAGGAATTTTTACTCCTTAAAAGAGCGCCCCCCCATGGCAGGAGAAAAAAATCCATTTTTTCTTGTCCCATAAGGTGAAAATACACATTGTTCAGTGTCACGCCTGTACGCTTTGTCTTATTGACACAAAATTTTACAATCACGTGTATCTCAATAAGATCTACGAAGAAGTCAATGCGCACGTATCTGTAAAATGTACGGTTAAAGGGCTATTTTGCATTTTGTGCCGATTCGCACACATTGGAATGCGGCTAACTCCTCCTAAAGCTTTCGTCCCACCGACACCAAATTTGCTCAGGCCAATCTACACCCCATGGCCATTCAAAGTTGTACAAATCATGACGCTGCACCCCACGGTTTAGGTTCTAGGGGGCGCCAAAGAGGACCCAAATATCCACATTTTTAAAAGTCTTATAACTTTTTATTTTTGTCCTCACTGGCCTCCAAGTTTTCTAGGATGATGCAATGTCCAGCCATCAACACATTTGTGAAGGAATTTTTACTCCCCAAAAGAGCGCCCCCCCATGGCAGGAGAAAAAGTCAAGTTTTTCCTGCCCATCGCTCAATGGCTCAAACGCATCGCTCTCTCGGCAAAACCGAAAGGAAGAGCAACTTGCCATTTGGATATATACTAGCTGTGTTTGTGCCCTCACTCATGGTCCAGACTTTTTTCAAAAAGGACATGGAGTTTGTCTGCAGCGAGCGTTTTGGTAGAAACTGTGCCTCCCATTCATTATAATGGTAAATGACCACAGACAAGTGCGCACACCATCTTTGGACCTTGAGTGTGACGCAATCGGGAGGGGTAGGCTGTCGCGCTGGGGGCGGCGCGACACGGCTCGGGCCCGCCAGTGCCCCACCGGGGCCCTAGTTCTTTCTTTAGGGCCCGAGCGTAGCTGCTAAGCAGCTGCGAGAGCCCTCTTGTTCCTGCATGTTTCCTTCTTTAGGGCCCGAGCGTAGCTGCTAAGCAGCTGCGAGAGCCCTCTTGTTCCTGATGGATTCTTCTTTCGTTATTTTTCCTCCGCTTTAAACTGGAAAATGGCCCACTTCCCACTGGCGAAAACTCAGGAAATTTGGCAGGACGACCGGGCCTGGTGAAAAATTCGATATTCTGAAGTCGCCCAAACAAAAAAATGAAAAATGGCTCCATAGCGCCCCCTATGGTGAAAACTCACCTGACGCCTGTACGCTTTGTCAAAATGACACAAAATTTGACACACATGTGTATCTCAATAAGATCTACAAAGAAGTCAGTGCGGGCGTATCTGTCAAATGTACCGTTAAAGGGCTATTCCGCATTTTTTGCCGATTCGCACACATTGGAATTTCGCTAACTCCTCCTAAGGCTTTCGTCCCACTGACACCAAATTTGCTGAGGCCAATCTACACCCCATGGCCATTAAAAGTTATTCAAATCATGACGCTGCACCCCACGGTTTAGGTTCTAGGGGGCGCCAAAGATAACCCAAAAATCCACATATTTAAAAGTCTTATAACTTTTTATTTTTGTCCTCACTCGCCTCCAAGTTTTCTAAGATGATGCAATGTCCAGCCATCAACACATTTGTGAAGGAATTTTTACTCCCCAAAAGAGCGCCCCCCCATGGCAGGAGAAAAAAGTCCATTTTTTCTTGTCCCATAAGGTGAAAATACACATTGTTGAGTGTCACGCCTGTACGCTTTGTCAAAATGACCCAAAATTTGACAATCACGTGTATCTCAATAAGATCTATGAAAAAGTCAATGCGCAAATATCTGGAAAATGTACGGTTAAAGGGCTATTTTGCATTTTTTGGCGATTCGCACACATTGGAATTTCGCTAAGTCCTCCTAAGGCTTTCGTCCCACTGACACCAAATTTGCTCAGGCCAATCTACACCCCATGGCCATTAAAAGTTGTACAAATCATGACGCTGCACCCCACGGTTTACCTTCTAGGGGGCGCCAAAGATGACCCAAATATCCACATTCTTAAAAGAATCCACATCCCCCCTCCCCCCATGGCAGGAGAAAAAGTCAAGTTTTTCCTTCCCATCGCTCAATGGCTCAATCGCATCGCTCTCTCGGCAAAAGCGAAAGGTGGATCCATTTGGATATATCCTAGCTGTGTTTGTGCCCTCACTCATGGTCCAGACTTTTTTCAAATAGGACATGTAGTTTGTCTGCAGCGAGTGTTTTGGTAGAAACTGCGCCTCCCATTCATTATAATGGGAAATGACCACAGACAAGTGCGCACTCCATCTTTGGACCTTGAGTGTGACGCGATCGGGAGGTGGAGGCGGTCGCGCTGGGGGCGGCACGACACGGCTCGGGCCCGACAGTGCCCCACCGGGGCCCTAGTTAGGGCCCGAGCGTAGCTGCTAAGCAGCTGCGAGAGCCCTATTATTCCTGATGGATTCTTCTTAGGGCCCGAGCGTAGCTGCTAAGCAGCTGCGAGAGCCCTCTTGTTCCTGCATGTTTCCTTCTTTTGTTATTAGGGCCCGAGCGTAGCTGCTAAGCAGCTGCGAGAGCCCTATTATTCCCCAAGTGGTTTTTCTTTGTTTCTTTTTAGGGCCCGAGCGTAGCTGCTAAGCAGCTGCGAGAGCCCTATTATTCCCCAAGTGGTTTTTCTTTGTTTCTTTTTAGGGCCCGAGCGTAGCTGCTAAGCAGCTGCGAGAGCCCTATTATTCCCCAAGTGGTTTTTCTTTGTTTCTTTCTTTCTTCTTTTTCCTCCCCTTTGAACTGGAAAATGGCCCACTTCCCACTGGTGAAAACTCATGAAATTTGGCAGGATGACCGGGCCTGGTGAAAAATTTGATATTCCGAAGTCGCCCAAACAAGAAAATGCAAAATGGCTCCATAGCGCCCCCTAAGGTGAAAATTCACACTATTGACTGTCACGCCTTTACGCTTTGTCATATTGACACAAAAATTGACACACACATGTATCTCAATAAGATCTACAAAAAAGTCAGTGCGGGCGTATCTGTCAAATGTACGGTTAAAGGGTTATTCCGCATTTTTTGCCGATCCGCACACATTGGAATTTCGCTAACTCCTCCGAAGGCTTTCGTTCCACTGGCACCACATTTGCTCAGGCCAATCTACACCCCATGGCCATTAAAAGTTATTCAAATCATGCACTGCACCCCACGGTTTAGGTTCTAGGGGGCGCCAAAGATAACCCTAAAATCCACATATTTAAAAGTCTTATAACTTTTTATTTTTGCCCTCACTGGCCTCCAAGTTTTCTAGGATGATGCAATGTCCAGCCATCAACACATTTGTGAAGGAATTTTTAATCCCCAAAAGAGCGCCCCCCCATGGCAGGAGAAAAAAGTCCATTTTTTCTTGTCCCCTAAGGTGAAAATACACATTGTTGAGTGTCACGCCTGTACGCTTTGTCATATTGACACAAAATTTGACACACACATGTATCTCAATAAGATCTACGAAAAAGTCAATGCGCGCGTATCTGTCAAATGTACGGTTAAAGGGTTATTCCGCATTATTTGCTGATCCGCACACATTGGAATTTCGCTAACTCCTCCTAAGGCTGGCGTTCCACCGGCACCACATTTGCTCAGGCCAATCTACACCCCATGGCCATTAAAAGTTATTCAAATCATGACGCTGCACCCCACGGTTTAGGTTCTAGGGGGCGCCAAAGATAACCCTAAAATCCACATATTTCAAAGTCTTATAACTTTTTATTTTTGCCCTCACTGGCCTCCAAGTTTTCTAGGATGATGCAATGTCCAGCCATCAACACATTTGTGAAGGAATTTTTAATCCCCAAAAGAGCGCCCCCCATGGCAGGAGAAAAAAGTCCATTTTTTCTTGTCCCATAAGATGAAAAAACACATTGTTGACTGTCATACCTGTACGCTTTGTCATATTGACACAAAATTTGACAATCACATGTATCTCAATAAGATCTACGAAAAAGTCAATGCGCGCGTATCTGTAAAATGTACGGTTAAAGGGCTATTTTGCATTTTTTGCCGATTCGCACACATTGGAATGTGGCTAACTCCTCCTAAGGCTTTCGTCCCACTGACACCAAATTTGCTCAGGCCAATCTACACCCCATGGCCATTCAAAGTTGTAAAAATCATGACGCTGCACCCCACGGTTTACGTTCTAGGGGGCGCCAAAGATGACCCAAATATCCACATTCTTAAAAGAATCCACATCCCCCCCCCCCCCCATCCCCCAACCCCCATGGCAGGAGAAACAGTCAAGTTTTTCCTGCCCATCACTCAATGGCTCAATCGCATCACTCTCCCGGCAACACCGTAACGAGGAGCAACTTGCCGTTTGGATATATCCTAGCTGTGTTTGTGCCCTCACTCATGGTCCAGACTTTTTTCAAATAGGACATGTAGTTTGTCTGCAGCGAGTGTTTTGGTAGAAACTGCGCCTCCCATTCATTATAATGGGAAATGACCACAGACAAGTGCGCACACCATCTTTGGACCTTGAGTGTGACGCGATCAGGAGGGGGAGGCGGTCACGCCGGGGGCGGCACGACGCGGCTCGGGCCCGACAGTGCCCCACCGGGGCCCTAGTTAGGGCCCGAGCGTAGCTGCTAAGCAGCTGCGAGAGCCCTCTTGTTCCTGTAGTTTCCTTCTTTAGGGCCCGAGCCAGCTGCAGAGCAGCCGGGCGTAGGCCCTATTATTCCCCAAGTGGTTTTTCTTTGTTTCTTTCTTTCTTTCTTTCTTTCTTCTTTTTCCTCCCCTTTGAACTGGAAAATGGCCCACTTCCCACTGGCGAAAACTCATGAAATTTGGCAGGACGACCGGGCCTGGTGAAAAATTCGATATTCTGAAGTCGCCCAAACAATAAAATGCAAAATGGCTCCATAGCGCCCCCTAAGGTGGAAATTCACACTATTGACTGTCACGCCTGTACGCTTTGTCATATTGACACAAAAATTGACACACATATGTATCTCAATAAGATCTACAAAAAAGTCAGTGCGGCCGTATCTGTCAAAATTACGGTTAAAGGGTTATTTCGCATTTTTTGCCGATCCGCACACATTGGAATTTCGCTAACTCCTCCGAAGGCTTTCGTTCCACCGGCACCACATTTGCTCAGGCCAATCTACACCCCGTGGCCATTAAAAGTTATCAAAATCATGACGCTGCACCCCAAGGTTTAGGTTCTAGGGGGCGCCAAAGATAACACTAAAATCCACATATTTAAAAGTCTTATAACTTTTTATTTTTGTCCTCACTGGCCTCCAAGTTTTCTAGGATGATGCAATGTCCAGCCATCAACACATTTGTGAAGGAATTTTTACTCCCCAAAAGAGCGCCCCCCCATGGCAGGAGAAAAAAGTCCATTTTTTCTTGTCCCCTAAGGTGAAAATACACATTGTTGAGTGTCACGCCTATACGCTTTGTCAAAATGACACAAAAATTGACACACACATGTATCTCAATAAGATCTACGAAAAAGTCAATGCGTGCGTATCTGTCAAATGTACGGTTAAAGGGTTATTCCGCATTTTTTGCCGATCCGCACACATTGGAATGTGGCTAACTCCTCCTAAGGCTTTCGTTCCACCGGCACCACATTTGCTCAGGCCAATCTGCACCCCATGGCCATTAAAAGTTATTCAAATCATGACGCTGCACCCCACGGTTTAGGTTCTAGGGGGCGCCAAAGATAACCCTAAAATCCACATATTTAAAAGTCTTATAACTTTTTATTTTTGTCCTCACTGGCCTCCAAGTTTTCTAGGATGATGCAATGTCCAGCCATCAACACATTTGTGAAGGAATTTTTTCTCCCCAAAAGAGCGCCCCCCCATGGCAGGAGAAAAAGTCAAGTTTTTCTTGTCCCCCAAGGCAAAAATACACATTGTTGAATGTCACGCCTGTACGCTTTGTCATATTGACACAAAATTTGACAATCACGTGTATCTCAATAAGATCTACGAAAAAGTCAATGCGCGTGTATCTGTAAAATGTACGGTTAAAGGGCTATTTCGCATTTTTTGCCGATTCGCACACATTGGAATTTCGCTAACTCCTCCTAAGGCTTTCGTCCCACTGACACCAAATTTGCTCAGGCCAATCTACACCCCATGGCCATTCAAATTTGTACAAATCATGAAGCTGCACCCCACGGTTAAGGTTCTAGGGGGCGCCAAAGATGACCCGAATATCCCCATTTTTAAAAGTCTTAAAACTTTTTATTTTTGTCCTCACTGGCCTCCAAGTTTTCTAGGATGATGCAATGTCCAGCCATCAACACATTTGTGAAGGAATTTTTTCTCCCCAAAAGAGCGCCCCCCCATGGCAGGAGAAAAAGTCAAGTTTTTCTTGTCCCCCAAGGCAAAAATACACATTGTTGAATGTCACGCCTGTACGCTTTGTCATATTGACACAAAATTTGACAATCACGTGTATCTCAATAAGATCTACGAAAAAGTCAATGCGCGTGTATCTGTAAAATGTACGGTTAAAGGGCTATTTCGCATTTTTTGCCGATTCGCACACATTGGAATTTCGCTAACTCCTCCTAAGGCTTTCGTCCCACTGACACCAAATTTGCTCAGGCCAATCTACACCCCATGGCCATTCAAAGTTGTAAAAATCATGACGCTGCACCCCACGGTTTACGTTCTAGGGGGCGCCAAAGATGACCCAAATATCCACATTCTTAAAAGAATCCACATCCCCCCCCCCCCCCCCCATCCCCCAACCCCCATGGCAGGAGAAACAGTCAAGTTTTTCCTGCCCATCACTCAATGGCTCAATCGCATCACTCTCCCGGCAACACCGTAACGAGGAGCAACTTGCCGTTTGGATATATCCTAGCTGTGTTTGTGCCCTCACTCATGGTCCAGACTTTTTTCAAATAGGACATGTAGTTTGTCTGCAGCGAGTGTTTTGGTAGAAACTGCGCCTCCCATTCATTATAATGGGAAATGACCACAGACAAGTGCGCACACCATCTTTGGACCTTGAGTGTGACGCGATCAGGAGGGGGAGGCGGTCACGCCGGGGGCGGCACGACGCGGCTCGGGCCCGACAGTGCCCCACCGGGGCCCTAGTTAGGGCCCGAGCGTAGCTGCTAAGCAGCTGCGAGAGCCCTCTTGTTCCTGTAGTTTCCTTCTTTAGGGCCCGAGCCAGCTGCAGAGCAGCCGGGCGTAGGCCCTATTATTCCCCAAGTGGTTTTTCTTTGTTTCTTTCTTTCTTTCTTTCTTTCTTCTTTTTCCTCCCCTTTGAACTGGAAAATGGCCCACTTCCCACTGGCGAAAACTCATGAAATTTGGCAGGACGACCGGGCCTGGTGAAAAATTCGATATTCTGAAGTCGCCCAAACAATAAAATGCAAAATGGCTCCATAGCGCCCCCTAAGGTGGAAATTCACACTATTGACTGTCACGCCTGTACGCTTTGTCATATTGACACAAAAATTGACACACATATGTATCTCAATAAGATCTACAAAAAAGTCAGTGCGGCCGTATCTGTCAAAATTACGGTTAAAGGGTTATTTCGCATTTTTTGCCGATCCGCACACATTGGAATTTCGCTAACTCCTCCGAAGGCTTTCGTTCCACCGGCACCACATTTGCTCAGGCCAATCTACACCCCGTGGCCATTAAAAGTTATCAAAATCATGACGCTGCACCCCAAGGTTTAGGTTCTAGGGGGCGCCAAAGATAACACTAAAATCCACATATTTAAAAGTCTTATAACTTTTTATTTTTGTCCTCACTGGCCTCCAAGTTTTCTAGGATGATGCAATGTCCAGCCATCAACACATTTGTGAAGGAATTTTTACTCCCCAAAAGAGCGCCCCCCCATGGCAGGAGAAAAAAGTCCATTTTTTCTTGTCCCCTAAGGTGAAAATACACATTGTTGAGTGTCACGCCTATACGCTTTGTCAAAATGACACAAAAATTGACACACACATGTATCTCAATAAGATCTACGAAAAAGTCAATGCGTGCGTATCTGTCAAATGTACGGTTAAAGGGTTATTCCGCATTTTTTGCCGATCCGCACACATTGGAATGTGGCTAACTCCTCCTAAGGCTTTCGTTCCACCGGCACCACATTTGCTCAGGCCAATCTGCACCCCATGGCCATTAAAAGTTATTCAAATCATGACGCTGCACCCCACGGTTTAGGTTCTAGGGGGCGCCAAAGATAACCCTAAAATCCACATATTTAAAAGTCTTATAACTTTTTATTTTTGTCCTCACTGGCCTCCAAGTTTTCTAGGATGATGCAATGTCCAGCCATCAACACATTTGTGAAGGAATTTTTTCTCCCCAAAAGAGCGCCCCCCCATGGCAGGAGAAAAAGTCAAGTTTTTCCTGCCCATCGCTCAATGGCTCAAACGCATCGCTCTCTCGGCAAAACCGAAAGGAGGAGCAACTTGCCATTTGGATATATACTAGCTGTGTTTGTGCCCTCACTCATGGTCCAGACTTTTTTCAAAAAGGACACGTAGTTTTTCTGCAGCGAGCGTTTTGGTAGAGACTGTGCCTCCCATTCATTATAATGGGAAATGACCAAAGACAGTTGCGCACACCATCTTTGGACCCTGACTGTGACGTCACAGTTTGAGATACAAATGTTATTTGACCTCTGACCTTTAGTGGAGACCCTAACCTTTCAACGCGCAAAAGCGTTGGACACAAACTGGCGGGAAGAACCACAAACGCCGATGAAGGATAAGGGTCTTTGTAGTGATGGGCGTTACCAGAGAGGGCGATGGCCAGAGGAAGAGAATGGGACGGGGAGGCGATCGCGTTGGGGAGGGGGCGCGACACGGCTCGGGCCCGCCAGTGCCCCAACGGGGCCCTAGTTATTTTTCCTCCCCTTTGAACTGGAAAATGGCCCACTTCCCACCCGCGAAAACTCATGAAATTTGGCAGGACGACCGGGCCTGGTGAAAAATTTGATATTCCGAAGTCGCCCAAACAAGAAAATGCAAAATGGCTCCATAGCGCCCCCTAAGGTGAAAATTCACACTATTGACTGTCACGCCTGTACGCTTTGTCAAAATGACACAAAAATTGACACACACATGTATCTCAGTAAGATCTACAAAAAAGTCAGTGCGGGCGTATCTGTCAAATGTACGGTTAAAGGGTTATTTCGCATTTTTTGCCGATCCGCACACATTGGAATTTCGCTAACTCCTCCGAAGGCTTTCGTTCCACCGGCACCACATTTGCTCAGGCCAATCTACACCCCATGGCCATTCAAAGTTATTCAAATCATGACGCTGCACCCCAAGGTTTAGGTTCTAGGGGGCGCCAAAGATAACCCTAAGATCCACATATTTAAAAGTCTTATAACTTTTTATTTTTGCCCTCACTGGCCTCCAAGTTTTCTAGGATGATGCAATGTCCAGCCATCAACACATTTGTGAAGGAATTTTTACTCCCCAAAAGAGCGCCCCCCCATGGCAGGAGAAAAAAGTCCATTTTTTCTTGTCCCCTAAGGTGAAAATACACATTGTTGAGTGTAACACCTGTACGCTTTGGCAAAATGACACAAAAATTGACACACACATGTATCTCAATAAGATCTACGAAAAAGTCAATGCGCGCGTATCTGTCAAAATTACGGTTAAAGGGTTATTCCGCATTTTTTGCCGATCCGCACACATTGGAATTTCGCTAACTCCTCCGAAGGCTTTCGTTCCACCGGCACCACATTTGCTCAGGCCAATCTACACCCCATGGCCATTAAAAGTTATTCAAATCATGACGCTGCATCCCACGGTTTAGGTTCTAGGGGGCGCCAAAGATAACCCTAAAATCCACATATTTAAAAGTCTTATAACTTTTTATTTTTGTCCTCACTGGCCTCCAAGTTTTCTAGGATGATGCAATGTCCAGCCATCAACACATTTGTGAAGGAATTTTTACTCCCCAAAAGAGCGCCCCCCCATGGCAGGAGAAAAAAGTCAATTTTTTCTTGTCCCCTAAGGTGGAAATTCACACTATTGACTGTCACGCCTGTACGCTTTATCATATTGACACAAAAATTGACACACATATGTATCTCAATAAGATCTACAAAAAAGTCAATGCGTGCGTATCTGTCAAATGTACGGTTAAAGGGCTATTTTGCATTTTTTTGCAGATTCGCACACATTGGAATGTGGCTGACTCCTCCTAAGGCTTTCGTCCCACTGACACCAAATTTGCTCAGGCCAATCTACACCCCATGGCCATTCAAAGTTGTAAAAATCATGACGCTGCACCCCACGGTTTACGTTCTAGGGGGCGCCAAAGATGACCCAAAAATCCACATTCTTAAAAGAATCCACATCCCCCCCCCATGGCAGGAGAAAAAGTCAAGTTTTTCCTGCCCATCGCTCAATGGCTCAATCGCATCGCTCTCCAGGCAACACCGTAAGGAGGAGCAACCTAACATTTCGATATATCATAGCTGTGTTTGTGCCCTCACTCATGGTCCAGACTTTTTTCAAATAGGACATGAAGTTTGTCTGCAGCGAGTGTTTTGGTAGAAACTGCGCCTCCCATTCATTATAATGGGAAATGACCACAGACAAGTGCGCACACCATCTTTGGTTCTTGAGTGTGACTCGATCGGGACGGGGAGGCGGTCGCACTGGGGGCGGCGCGACGCGGCTCTGGCCCGACAGTGCCCCACCGGGGCCCTAGTTAGGGCCCGAGCGTAGCTGCTAAGCAGCTGCGAGAGCCCTCTTGTTCCTGCATGTTTCCTTCTTTAGGGCCCGAGCCAGCTGCAGAGCAGCCGGGCGTAGGCCCTGTTATTCCTGTAGGGGTTTTTCTTTGTTAGGGCCCGAGCGTAGCTGCTAAGCAGCTGCGAGAGCCCTCTTGTTCCTGATGGATTCTTCTTTTTAGGGCCCGAGCGTAGCTGCTAAGCAGCTGCGAGAGCCCTCTTGTTCCTGATGGATTCTTCTTTTTAGGGCCCGAGCCAGCTGCAGAGCAGCCGGGCGTAGGCCCTATTATTCCCCAAGTGGTTTTTCTTTGTTTCTTTAGGGCCCGAGCGTAGCTGCTAAGCAGCTGCGAGAGCCCTCTTGTTCCTGCATGTTTCCTTCTTTTGTTATTATTATTATTATTATTTTTCCTCCCCTTTGAACTGGAAAATGGCCCACTTCCCACTGGCGAAAACTCATGAAATTTGGCAGGACGACCGGGCCTGGTGAAAAATTTGATATTCTGAAGTCGCCCAAACAATAAAATGCAAAATGACTCCATAGCGCCCCCTAAGGTGAAAATTCACACTATTGACTGTCACGCCTGTACGCTTTGTCAAAATGACACAAAAATTGACACACACATGTATCTCAATAAGATCTACAAAAAAGTCAGTGCGGGCGTATCTGTCAAATTTACGGTTAAAGGGTTATTTCGCATTTTTTGCCGATCCGCACACATTGGAATTTCGCTAACTCCTCCGAAGGCTTTCGTTCCACCGGCACCACATTTGCTCAGGCCAATCTACACCCCATGGCCATTAAAAGTTATTCAAATCATGACGCTGCACCCGAAGGTTTAGGTTCTAGGGGGCGCCAAAGATAACACTAAAATCCACATATTTAAAAGTCTTATAACTTTTTATTTTTGCCCTCACTGGCCTCCAAGTTTTCTAGGATGATGCAATGTCCAGCCATCAACACATTTGTGAAGGAATTTTTAATCCCCAAAAGAGCGCCCCCACATGGCAGGAGAAAAAAGTCCATTTTTTCTTGTCCCCTAAGGTGAAAATACACATTGTTGAGTGTCACGCCTGTACGCTTTGTCATATTGACACAAAATTTGACACACACATGTATCTCAATAAGATCTACGAAAAAGTCAATGCACGCGTATCTGTCAAATGTACGGTTAAAGGGTTATTCCGCATTTTTTGCTGATCCGCACACATTGGAATTTCGCTAACTCCTCCTAAGGCTGGCGTTCCACCGGCACCACATTTGCTCAGGCCAATCTACACCCCATGGCCATTAAAAGTTATTCAAATCATGACGCTGCACCCCAGGGTTTAGGTTCTAGGGGGCGCCAAAGATAACCCTAAAATCCACATATTTCAAAGTCTTATAACTTTTTATTTTTGTCCTCACTGGCCTCCAAGTTTTCTAGGATGATGCAATGTCCAGCCATCAACACATTTGTGAAGGAATTTTTACTCCCCAAAAGAGCGCCCCCCCATGGCAGGAGAAAAAAGTCCATTTTTTCTTGTCCCATAAGGTGAAAAAACACATTGTTGACTGTCATACCTGTACGCTTTGTCATATTGACACAAAATTTGACAATCATGTGTATCTCAATTAGATCTACGAAAAAGTCAAAGAGCGCGTATCTGTATAATGTACGGTTAAAGGGCTATTTTGCATTTTTTGCCGATTCGCACACATTGGAATGTGGCTATCTCCTCCTAAGGCTTTCGTCCCACCGATACCAAATTTGCTCAGGGCAATCTACACCCCATGCCCATTCAAAGTTGTAAAAATCATGACGCTGCACCCCACGGTTTACGTTCTAGGGGGCGCCAAAGATGACCCAAAAATCCACATTCTTAAAAGTCATTTTGGCCATTGCAGGAGTACAGAGTACTGCAGTTCTAGGGGGCGCCAAAGATGACCCAAAAATCCACATTCTTAAAAGTCTTTTTGGCCACTGCAGGAGTACAGAGTACTGCAGGATACACACACATATACCCCCACGCCAACATACACACACACACACACACACACACACACACACACACACACACTCAGAGTCTGTTTTTTAGCACCTGCAAAAACATGCTGTTACATATTTGACAAGAATGCAGAGGCTTCCTTTTGCCCCTGAAAAAAATCAAATTTCAAACACAACTTGACTGTTCATTTCTCCAAAAGACAACCATGAAGCTCCATTTCAAACCTGAAGCAGATAGTTGGTGCATGTGTACAGTAACCTGAGGGGAGTGAGGTGACTATTTCTGAGGAGAACATGAGCAGTGAAGATTCACCTTGGAGCTAGAACAGAGACATGCACATGATTATACAGGGGCAGGGGCTCAAGTTTTTTCCAGTCGTTTATACAATATGGAAATTAATGTGAAATTAAAACACAAAGTATTAATAGAAAGGTAATGACTGTCCTGTGTAGGTGACAGTGATATCCAATAGGCTAGGCACTCACGAGGCTGGCTGTGGCAAGTGTAAGTGAAAGCAACACGCACTGGCAGGAAGAACAGCAAACGCCGATGAAGGAAAAGGGTCTTTGCAGTGATGGGCGTTACCAGAGAGGGCGATGGCCAGAGGACACAAATGGGACGGGGAGGCAGCACGTTGGGGGGGGGGGGGGGCGACACGGCTCGGGCCCGCCAGTGCCCCAACGGGGTCCTAGTTTGTTATTATTATTATTAGGGCCCGAGCGTAGCTGCTAAGCAGCTGCGAGAGCCCTATTATTCCCCAAGTGGTTTTTCTTTGTTTCTTTCTTTCTTTCTTTCTTTAGGGCCCGAGCGTAGCTGCTAAGCAGCTGCGAGAGCCCTCTTGTTCCTGCATGTTTCCTTCTTTTGTTATTATTATTATTTTTCCTCCCCTTTGAACTGGAAAATGGCCCACTTCCCACTGGCGAAAACTCATGAAATTTGGCAGGACGACCGGGCCTGGTGAAAAATTTGATATTCCGAAGTCGCCCAAACAAGAAAATGCAAAATGGCTCCATAGCGCCCCCTAAGGTGAAAATTCACACTATTGACTGTCACGCCTGTACGCTTTGTCAAAATGACACAAAAATTGACACACACATGTATCTCAATAAGATCTACAAAAAAGTCAGTGCGGGCGTATCTGTCAAATGTACGGTTAAAGGGTTATTTCGCATTTTTTGCCGATCCACACACATTGGAATTTCGCTAACTCCTCCGAAGGCTTTCGTTCCACCGGCACCACATTTGCTCAGGCCAATCTACACCCCATGGCCATTAAAAGTTATTCAAATCATGACGCTGCACCCCACGGTTTAGGTTCTAGGGGGCGCCAAAGATAACCCTAAGATCCACATATTTAAAAGTCTTATAACTTTTTATTTTTGCCCTCACTGGCCTCCAAGTTTTCTAGGATGATGCAATGTCCAGCCATCAACACATTTGTGAAGGAATTTTTACTCCCCAAAAGAGCGCCCCCCCATGGCAGGAGAAAAAAGTCAATTTTTTCTTGTCCCCTAAGGTGGAAATTCACACTATTGACTGTCACGCCTGTACGCTTTATCATATTGACACAAAAATTGACACACATATGTATCTCAATAAGATCTACAAAAAAGTCAATGCGCGTGTATCTGTCAAATGTACGGTTAAAGGGCTATTTTGCATTTTTTGCCGATTCGCACACATTGGAATGTGGCTAACTCCTCCTAAGGCTTTCGTCCCACTGACACCAAATTTGCTCAGGCCAATCTACACCCCATGGCCATTCAAAGTTGTAAAAATCATGACGCTGCACCCCACGGTTTACGTTCTAGGGGGCGCCAAAGATGACCCAAAAATCCACATTCTTAAAGGAATCCACATCCCCCCCCAAGGCAGGAGAAAAAGTCAAGTTAACCCTGCCCATCGCTCAATGGCTCAATCGCATCGCTCTCCAGGCAACACCGTAAGGAGGAGCAACCTGCCATTTCGATATATCATAGCTGTGTTTGTGCCCTCACTCATGGTCCAGACTTTTTTCAAATAGGACATGAAGTTTGTCTGCAGCGAGCGTTTTGGTAGAAACTGCGCCTCCCATTCATTATAATGGGAAATGACCACAGACAAGTGCGCACACCATCTTTGGACCTTGAGTGTGACGCGATCGGGAGGGGGAGGCGGTCGCGCTAGGGGCGGCGCGACGCGGCTCGGGCCCGACAGTGCCCCACCGGGGCCCTAGTTAGGGCCCGAGCGTAGCTGCTAAGCAGCTGCGAGAGCCCTATTATTCCCCAAGGGGTTTTTCTTTGTTTCTTTTTTCTTTTTCCTCCCCTTTGAACTGGAAAATGGCCCACTTCCCACTAGCGAAAACTCATGAAATTTGGCAGGACGACCGGGCCTGGTGAAAAATTTGATATTCTGAAGTCGCCCAAACAAGAAAATGCAAAATGGCTCCATAGCGCCCCCTAAGGTGAAAATTCACACTATTGAGTGTCACGCCTGTACGCTTTGTCAAAATGACACAAAATTTGACACACACATGTATCTCAATAAGATCTACAAAAAAGTCAGTGCGGGCGTATCTGTCAAATGTACGGTTAAAGGGTTATTTCGCATTTTTTGCCGATCCGCACACATTGGAATTTCGCTAACTCCTCCGAAGGCTTTCGTTCCACCGGCACCACATTTGCTCAGGCCAATCTACACCCCATGGCCATTAAAAGTTATTCAAATCATGACGCTGCACCCCACGGTTTAGGTTCTAGGGGGCGCCAAAGATAACCCTAAAATCCACATATTTAAAAGTCTTATAACCTTTTATTTTTGCCCTCACTGGCCTCCAAGTTTTCTAGGATGATGCAATGTCCAGCCATCAACACATTTGTGAAGGAATTTTTACTCCCCAAAAGAGCGCCCCCCATGGCAGGAGAAAAAAGTCCATTTTTTCTTGTCCCCTAAGGTGAAAATACACATTGTTGAGTGTCACGCCTGTACGCTTTGTCAAAATGACACAAAAATTGACACACACATGTATCTCAATAAGATCTACAAAAAAGTCCACGCGCGCGTATCTGTCAAATGTACGGTTAAAGGGTTATTCCGCATTTTTTGCCGATTCGCACACATTGGAATTTCGCTAACTCCTCCGAAGGCTTTCGTTCCACCGGCACCACATTTGCTCAGGCCAATCTACACCCCATGGCCATTAAAAGTTATTCAAATCATGACGCTGCACCCCACGGTTTAGGTTCTAGGGGGCGCCAAAGATAACCCTAAAATCCACATATTTAAAAGTCTTATAACCTTTTATTTTTGCCCTAACTGGCCTCCAAGTTTTCTAGGATGATGCAATGTCCAGCCATCAACACATTTGTGAAGGAATTTTTACTCCCCAAAAGAGCGCCCCCCATGGCAGGAGAAAAAAGTCCATTTTTTCTTGTCCCCTAAGGTGAAAATACACATTGTTGAGTGTCACGCCTGTACGCTTTGTCAAAATGACACAAAAATTGACACACACATGTATCTCAATAAGATCTACAAAAAAGTCCACGCGCGCGTATCTGTCAAATGTACGGTTAAAGGGTTATTCCGCATTTTTTGCCGATTCGCACACATTGGAATTTCGCTAACTCCTCCGAAGGCTTTCGTTCCACCGGCACCACATTTGCTCAGGCCAATCTACACCCCATGGCCATTAAAAGTTATTCAAATCATGACGCTGCACCCCACGGTTTACGTTCTAGGGGGCGCCAAAGATGACCCAAATATCCACATTCTTAAAAGAATCCACACCCCCCATCCCCCATCCCCCATGGCAGGAGAAACAGTCAAGTTTTTCCTGCCCATCACTCAATGGCTCAATCGCATCGCTCTTCCGGCAACACCGTAACGAGGAGCAACTTGCCGTTTGGATATATCCTAGCTGTGTTTGTGCCCTCACTCATGGTCCAGACTTTTTTCAAATAGGACATGTAGTTTGTCTGCAGCGAGTGTTTTGGTAGAAACTGCGCCTCCCATTCATTATAATGGGAAATGACCACAGACAAGTGCGCACACCATCTTTGGACCTTGAGTGTGACGCGATCGGGGGGAGGCGGTCGCGCTGGGGGCGGCGCGACGCGGCTCGGGCCCGACAGTGCCCCACCGGGGCCCTAGTTCTTTCTTTCTTTCTTCTTTTTCCTCCCCTTTGAACTGGAAAATGGCCCACTTCCCACTGGCGAAAACTCATGAAATTTGGCAGGACGACCGGGCCTGGTGAAAAATTCGATATTCTGAAGTCGCCCAAACAATAAAATGCAAAATGGCTCCATAGCGCCCCCTAAGGTGGAAATTCACACTATTGACTGTCACGCCTGTACGCTTTGTCATATTGACACAAAAATTGACACACATATGTATCTTAATAAGATCTACAAAAAAGTCAGTGCGGGCGTATCTGTCAAAATTACGGTTAAAGGGTTATTTTGCATTTTTTGCCGATCCGCACACATTGGAATTTCGCTAACTCCTCCGAAGGCTTTCATTCCACCGGCACCACATTTGCTCAGGCCAATCTACACCCCGTGGCCATTAAAAGTTATCAAAATCATGACGCTGCACCCCAAGGTTTAGGTTCTAGGGGGCGCCAAAGATAACACTAAAATCCACATATTTAAAAGTCTTATAACTTTTTATTTTTGTCCTCACTGGCCTCCAAGTTTTCTAGGATGATGCAATGTCCAGCCATCAACACATTTGTGAAGGAATTTTTACTCCCCAAAAGAGCGCCCCCCCATGGCAGAAGAAAAAAGTCCATTTTTTCTTGTCCCCTAAGGTGAAAATACACATTGTTGAGTGTCACGCCTATACGCTTTGTCAAAATGACACAAAAATTGACACACACATGTAACTCAATAAGATCTACGAAAAAGTCAATGCGCGCGTATCTGTCAAATGTACGGTTAAAGGGTTATTTCGCATTTTTTGCCGATCCGCACACATTGGAATGTGGCTAACTCCTCCTAAGTCTTTCGTTCCACCGGCACCACATTTGCTCAGGCCAATCTACACCCCGTGGCCATTAAAAGTTATCAAAATCATGACGCTGCACCCCAAGGTTTAGGTTCTAGGGGGCGCCAAAGATAACACTAAAATCCACATATTTAAAAGTCTTATAACTTTTTATTTTTGTCCTCACTGGCCTCCAAGTTTTCTAGGATGATGCAATGTCCAGCCATCAACACATTTGTGAAGGAATTTTTACTCCCCAAAACAGCGCCCCCCCATGGCAGAAGAAAAAAGTCCATTTTTTCTTGTCCCCTAAGGTGAAAATTCACACTATTGACTGTCAGGCCTGTACGCTTTGTCATATTGACACAAAAATTGACACACACATGTATCTCAATAAGATCTACGAAAAAGTCAATGCCGCGTATCTGTCAAATGTACGGTTAAAGGGTTATTTCGCATTTTTTGCCGATGCGCACACATTGGAATTTCGCTAACTCCTCCTAAGGCTTTCGTTCCACCGGCACCACATTTGCTCAGGCCAATCTACACCCCATGGCCATTGAAAGTTATTCAAATCATGATGCTGCACCCCACGGTTTAGGTTCTAGGGGGCGCCAAATATAACCCTAAATCCACATATTTAAAAGTCTTATAACTTTTTATTTTTGTCCTCACTGGCCTCCAAGTTCTCTAGGATGATGCAATGTCCAGCCATCAACACATTTGTGAAGGAATTTTTACTCCCCAAAAGAGCGCCCCCCATGGCAGGAGAAAAAAGTCAATTTTTTCTTGTCCCCTAAGGTGAAAATACACATTGTTGAGTGTCACGCCTGTACGCTTTGTCATATTGACACAAAATTTGACAATCACGTGTGTCTCAATAACATCTACGAAAAAGTCAATGCACGCGTATCTGTCAAATGTACGGTTAAAGGGCTATTTTGCATTTTTTGCCGATTCGCACACATTGGAATGTGGCTAACTCCTCCTAAGGCTTTCATCCCACTGACACCAAATTTGCTCAGGCCAATCTACACCCCATGGCCATTAAAAGTTGTAAAAATCATGACGGTGCACCCCACGGTTTACGTTCTAGGGGGCGCCAAAGATGACCCAAATATCCACATTCTTAAAACAATCCACATCTCCCCCCCCCCCCCCCCATCCCCCATCCCCCAAGGCAGGAGAAACAGTCAAGTTTTTCCTGCCCATCACTCAATGGCTCAATCGCATCGCTCTCCCGGCAACACCGTAACGAGGAGCAACTTGCCGATTGGATATATCCTAGCTGTGTTTGTGCCCTCACTCATGGTCCAGACTTTTTTCAAATAGGATATGTAGTTTGTCTGCAGCGAGTGTTTTGGTAGAAACTGCGCCTCCCATTCATTATAATGGGAAATGACCACAGACAAGTGCGCACACCATCTTTGGACCTTGAGTGTGACGCGATCGGGAGGGGGAGGTGGTCGCGCTGGGGGCGGCGCGACGCGGCTCGGGCCCGACAGTGCCCCACCGGGGCCCTAGTTATTATTTTTCCTCCCCTTTGAACTGGAAAATGGCCCACTTCCCACTGGCGAAAACTCATGAAATTTGGCAGGACGACCGGGCCTGGTGAAAAATTTGATATTCCGAAGTCGCCCAAACAAGAAAATGCAAAATGGCTCCATAGCGCCCCCTAAGGTGAAAATTCACACTATTCACTGTCACGCCGGTACGCTTTGTCAAAATGACACAAAAATTGACACACACATGTATCTCAATAAGATCTACAAAAAAGTCAGTGCGGGCGTATCTGTCAAATGTACGGTTAAAGGGTTATTTCGCATTTTTTGCCGATCCGCACACATTGGAATTTCGCTAACTCCTCCGAAGGCTTTCGTTCCACCGGCACCACATTTGCTCAGGCCAATCTACACCCCATGGCCATCAAAAGTTATTCAAATCATGACGCTGTACCCCACGGTTTAGGTTCTAGGGGGCGCCAAAGATAACCCTAAGATCCACATATTTAAAAGTCTTATAACTTTTTATTTTTGCCCTCACTGGCCTCCAAGTTTTCTAGGATGATGCAATGTCCAGCCATCAACACATTTGTGAAGGAATTTTTACTCCCCAAAAGAGCGCCCCCCCATGGCAGGAGAAAAAAGTCCATTTTTTCTTGTCCCCTAAGGTGAAAATACACATTGTTGAGTGTAACACCTGTACGCTTTGGCAAAATGACACAAAAATTGACACACACATGTATCTCAATAAGATCTACGAAAAAGTCAATGCGCGCGTATCTGTCAAATGTACGGTTAAAGGGTTATTCCGCATTTTTTGCCGATCCGCACACATTGGAATTTCGCTAACTCCTCCGAAGGCTTTCCGTTCCACCGGCACCACATTTGCTCAGGCCAATCTACACCCCATGGCCATTAAAAGTTATTCAAATCATGACGCTGCACCCCACGGTTTAGGTTCTAGGGGGAGCCAAAGATAACCGTAAAATCCACATATTTAAAAGTCTTATAACTTTTTATTTTTGTCCCCACTGGCCTCCAAGTTTTCTAGGATGATGCAATGTCCAGCCATCAACACATTTGTGAAGGAATTTTTACTCGGCAAAAGAGCGCCCCCCATGGCAGGAGAAAAAAGTCAATTTTTTCTTGTCCACTAAGGTGAAAATACACATTGTTGAGTGCTACGCCTGTATGTTTTGTCGTATTGACACAAAGTTTTACATACACGTGTATTTACATAAGATCTTCGAAAAAGTCAATGGCCACGTATCTGTAAAATGTACGGTTAAAGGGTTATTTCGCATTTTTTGCAGATTCGCACACATTGGAATTTCGCTAATTCCTCCGAAGGCTTTCGTTCCACCGGCACCACATTTGCTCAGGCCAATCTACACCCCATGGCCATTAAAAGTTATTCAAATCATGACGCTGCACCCCACGGTTTAGGTTCTAGGGGGCGCCAAAGATAACCCTAAAATCCACATATTTAAAAGTCTTATAACTTTTTATTTTTGTCCTCACTGGCCTCCATGTTTTCTAGGATGATGCAATGTCCAGCCATCAACACATTTGTGAAGGAGTTTTTTCTCTTTAAAAGAGCGCCCCCCATGGCAGGAGAATAAAGTCAAGTTTTTCCTGTTCATCATTCAATGGCTCAAACGCACTGCTCTCTCGGCAAAAGCGAAAGGAGGAGCAACTTGCCATTTGGATATATCTTAGCTGTGTTTGTGCCCTCACTCATGGTCCAGACTTTTTTCAAATAGGACATGGAGTTTTTCTGCAGCGAGCGTTTTGGTAGAAACTGCGCCTCCCGTTCATTATAATGGTAAATGACCACAAACAAGTGCGCACACCATCTTTGGACCTTGAGTGTGACGCGATCGGGTGGGGGAGGCGGTCGCGCTGGGGGCGGCGTGACACGGCTCGGGCCCGACAGTGCCCTACCGGGGCCCTAGTTATTATTTTTCCTCCCCTTTGAACTGGAAAATGGCCCACTTCCCACTGGCGAAAACTCATGAAATTTGGCAGGACGACCGGGCCTGGTGAAAAATTTGATATTCCGAAGTCGCCCAAACAAGAAAATGCAAAATGGCTCCATAGCGCCCCCTAAGGTGAAAATTCACACTATTCACTGTCACGCCTGTACGCTTTGTCAAAATGACACAAAAATTGACACACACATGTATCTCAATAAGATCTACAAAAAAGTCAGTGCGGGCGTATCTGTCAAATGTACGGTTAAAGGGTTATTTCGCATTTTTTGCCGATCCGCACACATTGGAATTTCGCTAACTCCTCCGAAGGCTTTCGTTCCACCGGCACCACATTTGCTCAGGCCAATCTACACCCCATGGCCATTAAAAGTTATTCAAATCATGACGCTGCACCCCACGGTTAAGGTTCTAGGGGGCGCCAAAGATAACCCTAAGATCCACATATTTAAAAGTCTTATAACTTTTTATTTTTGCCCTCACTGGCCTCCAAGTTTTCTAGGATGATGCAATGTCCAGCCATCAACACATTTGTGAAGGAATTTTTACTCCCCAAAAGAGCGCCCCCCCATGGCAGGAGAAAAAAGTCCATTTTTTCTTGTCCCCTAAGGTGAAAATACACATTGTTGAGTGTAACACCTGTACGCTTTGGCAAAATGACACAAAAATTGACACACACATGTATCTCAATAAGATCTACGAAAAAGTTAGTGCGCGCGTATCTGTCAAATGTACGGTTAAAGGGTTATTCCGCATTTTTTGCCGATCCGCACACATTGGAATTTCGCTAACTCCTCCGAAGGCTTTCTGTCCACCGGCACCACATTTGCTCAGGCCAATCTACACCCCATGGCCATTAAAAGTTATTCAAATCATGACGCTGCACCCCACGGTTTAGGTTCTAGAGGGCGCCAAAGATAACCCTAAAATCCACATATTTCAAAGTCTTATAACTTTTTATTTTTGTCCTCACTGGCCTCCAAGTTTTCTAGGATGATGCAATGTCCAGCCATCAACACATTTGTGAAGGAATTTTTACTCCCCAAAAGAGCGCCCCCCCATGGCAGGAGAAAAAAGTCCATTTTTTCTTGTCCCCTTAGGTGAAAATTCACATTGTTGAGTGTGACACCTGTACGCTTTGTCATATTGACACAAAATTTGACAATCACGTGTATCTCAATAAGATCTACGAAAAAGTCAATGCGCGCGTATCTGTCAAATGTACGGTTAAAGGGCTATTTTGCATTTTTTGCCGATTCGCACACATTGGAATGTGGCTAACTCCTCCTAAGGCTTTCGTCCCACTGACACCAAATTTGCTCAGGCCAATCTACACCCCATGGCCATTCAAAGTTGTAAAAATCATGACGCTGCACCCCACGGTTTACATTCTAGGGGGCGCCAAAGATGACCCAAATATCCACATTCTTAAAAGAATCCACATCCCCCCCACATCCCCCATCCCCCATGGCAGGAGAAACAGTCAAGTTTTTCCTGCCCATCACTCAATGGCTCAATCGCATCGCTCTCCCGGCAACACCGTAACGAGGAGCAACTTGCCGTTTGGATATATCCTAGCTGTGTTTGTGCCCTCACTCATGGTCCAGACTTTTTTCAAATAGGACATGTAGTTTGTCTGCAGCGAGTGTTTTGGTAGAAACTGCGCCTCCCATTCATTAAAATGGGAAATGACCACAGACATGTGCGCACACCATCTTTGGACCTTGAGTGTGACGCGATCGGGAGGGGGAGGTGGTCGCGCTGGGGGCGGCGCGACGCGGCTCGGGCCCGACAGTGCCCCACCGGGGCCCTAGTCTTTGTTTCTTTCTTTCTTTCTTTAGGGCCCGAGCCAGCTGCAGAGCAGCCGGGCGTAGGCCCTATTATTCCCCAAGTGGTTTTTCTTTGTTTCTTTCTTTCTTTTTAGGGCCCGAGCGTAGCTGCTAAGCAGCTGCGAGAGCCCTATTATTCCCCAAGTGGTTTTTCTTTGTTTCTTTCTTTCTTTTTTCTTTTTCCTCCCCTTTGAACTGGAAAATGGCCCACTTCCCACTGGCAAAAACTCATGAAATTTGGCAGGACAACCGGGCCTGGTGAAAAATTCGATATTCTGAAGTCGCCCAAACAATAAAATGCAAAATGGCTCCATAGCGCCCCCTAAGGTGGAAATTCACACTATTGACTGTCACGCCTGTACGCTTTGTCATATTGACACAAAAATTGACACACATATGTATCTCAATAAGATCTACAAAAAAGTCAGTGCGGCCGTATCTGTCAAAATTACGGTTAAAGGGTTATTTCGCATTTTTTGCCGATCCGCACACATTGGAATTTCGCTAACTCCTCCGAAGGCTTTCGTTCCACCGGCACCACATTTGCTCAGGCCAATCTACACCCCGTGGCCATTAAAAGTTATCAAAATCATGACGCTGCACCCCAAGGTTTAGGTTCTAGGGGGCGCCAAAGATAACACTAAAATCCACATATTTAAAAGTCTTATAACTTTTTATTTTTGTCCTCACTGGCCTCCAAGTTTTCTAGGATGATGCAATGTCCAGCCATCAACACATTTGTGAAGGAATTTTTACTCCCCAAAAGAGCACCCCCCCATGGCAGGAGAAAAAAGTCCATTTTTTCTTGTCCCCTAAGGTGAAAATACACATTGTTGAGTGTCACGCCTATACGCTTTGTCAAAATGACACAAAAATTGACACACACATGTAACTCAATAAGATCTACAAAAAAGTCAATGCGCGCGTATCTGTCAAATGTACGGTTAAAGGGTTATTCCGCATTTTTTGCCGATACGCACACATTGGAATTTCGCTAACTCCTCCGAAGGCTTTCGTTCCACCGGCACCACATTTGCTCAGGCCAATCTACACCCCATGGCCATTAAAAGTTATTCAAATCATGATGCTGCACCCCATGGTTTAGGTTCTAGGGGGCGCCAAAAATAACCCAAAAATCCACATTCTTAAATGTTTTATAACTTTTTATTTTTGTCCTCACTGGCCTCCAAGTTTTCTAGGATGATGCAATGTCCAGCCATCAACACATTTGTGAAGGAATTTTTACTCCCCAAAAGAGCGCCCCCCCCATGGCAGGAGAAAAAAGTCCATTTTTTCTTGTCCCATAAGGTGAAAAAACACATTGTTGACTGTCATACCTGTACGCTTTGTCATATTGACACAAAATTTGACAATCACATGTATCTCAATAAGATCTACGAAAAAGTCAATGCGCGCGTATCTGTAAAATGTACGGTTAAAGGGCTATTTTGCATTTTTTGCCGATTCGCACACATTGGAATGTGGCTAACTCCTCCTAAGGCTTTCGTCCCACTGACACCAAATTTGCTCAGGCCAATCTACACCCCATGGCCATTCAAAGTTGTAAAAATCATGACGCTGCACCCCACGGTTTACGTTCTAGGGGGCGCCAAAGATGACCCAAATATCCACATTCTTAAAAGAATCCACATCCCCCCCCCATCCCCCATCCCCCATGGCAGGAGAAACAGTCAAGTTTTTCCTGCCCATCACTCAATGGCTCAATCGCATCACTCTCCCGGCAACACCGTAACGAGGAGCAACTTGCCGTTTGGATATATCCTAGCTGTGTTTGTGCCCTCACTCATGGTCCAGACTTTTTTCAAATAGGACATGTAGTTTGTCTGCAGCGAGTGTTTTGGTAGAAACTGCGCCTCCCATTCATTATAATGGTAAATGACCACAGACAAGTGCGCACACCATCTTTGGACCTTGAGTGTGACGCGATCGGGAGGGGGAGGCGGTCGCGCTGGGGGCGGCGCAACGCGGCTCGGGCCCGACAGTGCCCCACCGGGGTCCTAGTTTCTTTTTCCTCCCCTTTGAACTGGAAAATGGCCCACTTCCCACTGGCGAAAACTCATGAAATTTGGCAGGACGACCGGGCCTGGTGAAAAATTTGATATTCTGAAGTCGCCCAAACAATAAAATGCAAAATGGCTCCATAGCGCCCCCTAAGGTGAAAATTCACACTATTGACTGTCACGCCTGTACGCTTTGTCATATTGACACAAAAATTGACACACATATGTATCTCAATAAGATCTACAAAAAAGTCAGTGCGGCCGTATCTGTCAAAATTACGGTTAAAGGGTTATTTCGCATTTTTTGCCGATCCGCACACATTGGAATTTCGCTAACTCCTCCGAAGGCTTTCGTTCCACCGGCACCACATTTGCTCAGGCCAATCTACACCCCGTGGCCATTAAAAGTTATCAAAATCATGACGCTGCACCCCAAGGTTTAGGTTCTAGGGGGCGCCAAAGATAACACTAAAATCCACATATTTAAAAGTCTTATAACTTTTTATTTTTGTCCTCACTGGCCTCCAAGTTTTCTAGGATGATGCAATGTCCAGCCATCAACACATTTGTGAAGGAATTTTTACTCCCCAAAAGAGCGCCCCCCCATGGCAGGAGAAAAAAGTCCATTTTTTCTTGTCCCCTAAGGTGAAAATACACATTGTTGAGTGTCACGCCTATACGCTTTGTCAAAATGACACAAAAATTGACACACACATGTAACTCAATAAGATCTACGAAAAAGTCAATGCGCGCGTATCTGTCAAATGTACGGTTAAAGGGTTATTCCGCATTTTTTGCCGATCTGCACACATTGGAATTTCGCTTACTCCTCCTAAGGCTTTCGTTCCACCGGCACCACATTTGCTCAGGCCAATCTACACCCCATGGCCATTAAAAGTTATCAAAATCATGACGCTGCACCCCACGGTTTAGGTTCTAGGGGGCGCCAAAGATAACCCTAAAATCCACATATTTAAAAGTCTTATAACTTTTTATTTTTGTCCTCACTGGCCTCCAAGTTTTCTAGGATGATGCAATGTCCAGCCATCAACACATTTGTGAAGGAATTTTTACTCCCCAAAAGAGCGCCCCCCAAAGGCAGGAGAAAAAAGTCCATTTTTTCTTGTCCTCTAAGGTGAAAATAAATATTGTTGAGATTCACGCCTATACGCTTTGTCATATTGACACAAAATTTGACAATCACGTGCCTTGCCTGGTATCATTTTTTTCAGCACAACCTCACCTGTGCGAATTTACAGTTATTTTATCATGTTGACATACTGAATTTACACAATGGACCCAAATTCACACACAAAACATAAAATCTGAGTGGAAAAAAGTAACATTTTTACTGTGAAAACCACAAATATGTGTGATGAACTGTTTTTAAAACTTAAACTTCAAATAAAAATTGTAAACTTCAAAACATATGCAAATTTTTAACAAAGAACATAGTGATTTACCTCTATTTACATCAAAATGCAGGCAATGGCCCAGGCGTTCTTTGTAAAATTATTTACAAAACACTGTATAGTCTCACAAATGTCACTTTTTATTTATGCCACTACAAAAAAACATGATGTAAATGATGCATGATGTAAAACATGATGTAAAAAACTTGTGTAGATCCTCCTCTATGTCAGTCCATGTGTAATTTTTCCATAATTCTTTGTTTTTTGCAGCATTTTTGTTAGTGTAACTGCAGATTGTGCTGACAGTGTCTATGGCACAAAAAAAAAAAAAAATTAAAATGCCTCAACATGAACCCCTGGTGGTCTCTGAGGGTGAAACCTGCTAACTGCTGCAGCTCTGTCAGCTTCAGTCTCCCATGCAGAGCTCTGAGCGCATGTGTGGCTCTGCACCCTTAGCAGCGTTGCTAACTCCTCAGTAAGGAAAGCCTGCTTCATGTCAGAGTCTCTAAACTCCAGAAGAAGTCGATAAAAGTCCCTTTCTTTCTAAAAAAAGTCGTTAGGGGGTCTGAAAAGTCATTGAATCTAACAACAAAGTCGGTAGGTTTGCAACTACGTGTCCCAGACTGCATCCCTGCTGAGAGTCCCTCCCTCCCTTCTCATGTTGCAGGAAGAACGTAAGCGCCCGCCCCTTGTCAATCAGTCACCATATAATTTTGGATTGGTTGTTGTGGTGAAGTTTTCCACCAATAGGAGAGATGTTGTGGTGTGTTTTTTTTTTCTTTTGGCAAGCCTTTTCCGCCTGTAAGAGCTGTCGCTAATGTCTGCATGCTATGTTTTCCTGTCTCATACAGCGCGATCGAGCGCCGAACGTGATCAAAATAAGCAGAAAAAAAGTATCGCGGACATAATTTATCATAACTCTGGTTTTATTTGGCCTATCAACACAATTTATAAACTGGTATATAGGTTGAGGTCCTCACTTTTGAGATAAGTTGAAACGGAGAGTCAACGAGGCTCCGTCTTGCAGCTACATCCGGTTAAATATGTCATGTGACTTGAACTCACACACAGACACACACACACGCACACACACACACACACACACACACACACACACACACTCAGAGTCTGGTTTTTAGCACCTGCAAAAACATGCTATTTACATATTTGACAAGAATGCAGAGGCTCCTTTTGCCCCTGAAAAAAATCAAATTTCAAACACAACTTGACTGGTCATTTCTCCAAAAGACAACCATGAAGCTCCATCCAAACCTGAAGCAGGCAGTTGGTGCATGTGTACAGTAACCTGAGGGGAGTGAGGTGAGTGCTTCTGAGGAGAACATGAGCAGTGAAGATTCACCTTGGAGCTAGAACAGAGACATGCACATGATTATACAGGGGCAGGGGCTCAAGTTTTTTCCAGTCGTGTATACAATATGGAAATTAATGTGAAATTAAAACACAAAGTATTAATAGAAAGGTAATGACTGTCCTGTGTAGGTGACAGTGATATCCAATAGGCTAGGCACTCACGAGGCTGGCTGTGGCAAGTGTAAGTGAAAGCAACACGCACTGGCAGGAAGAACAGCAAACGCCGATGAAGAAAAAGGGTCTTTGCAGTGATGGGCGTTACCAGAGAGGGCGATGGCCAGAGGACACAAATGGGACGGGGAGGCAGCACGTTGGGGGGGGGGGGGACGCGACACGGCTCGGGCCCGCCAGTGCCCCAACGGGGTCCTAGTTCTTTAGGGCCCGAGCCAGCTGCAGAGCAGCCGGGCGTAGGCCCTATTATTCCCCAAGTGGTTTTTTAGGGCCCGAGCCAGCTGCAGAGCAGCCGGGCGTAGAGCCCTATTATTCCTGTATAGGTTTTTCTTTCTTCTTTCTTTCTTTCTTTCTTCTTATTTTTCCTCCCCTTTGAATGGGAAAATGGCCCACTTCCCACTGGCGAAAACTCATGAAATTTGGCAGGACGACCGGGCCTGGTGAAAAATTCGATATTCTGAAGTCGCCCAAACAATAAAATGCAAAATGGCTCCATAGCGCCCCCTAAGGCGAAAATTCACACTATTGACTGTCACGCCTGTACGCTTTGTCATATTGACACAAAAATTGACACACACGTGTATCTCAATACGGTCTACGAAAAAGTCAGCACGGGCGTGTCTGTCAAATGTACGGTTAGAGGGTTATTTCGCATTTTTTGCCGATCTGCACACATTGGAATTTCGCTAACTCCTCCGAAGGCATTCGTTCCACCGGCACCACATTTGCTCAGGCCAATCTACACCCCATGGCCATTAAAAGTTGTACAAATCATGACGCTGCACCCCACGGTTTACGTTCTAGGGGGCGCCAAAGATAACCCAAAAATCCACAGTCTTAAAAGTCTTATAACTTTTTATTTTTGTCCTTACTGGCCTCCAAGTTCTCTAGGATGATGCAATGTCCAGCCATCAACACATTTGTGAAGGAATTTTTACTCCCCAAAAGAGCGCCCCCACATGGCAGGAGAAAAAAGTCCATTTTTTCTTGTCCCCTAAGGTGAAAATACACATTGTTGAGTGTCACGCCTATACGCTTTGTCATATTGACCCAAAATTTGAGAATCACGTGTATCTCAATAAGATCTACGAAAAAGTCAATGGGCACGTATCTGTAAAATGTACGGTTAAAGGGTTATTCCGCATTTTTTGCCGATTCGCACACATTGGAATTTCGCTAACTCCTCCGAAGGCTTTAGGTCCACCGCCACCAAATTTGCTCAGGCCAATCTACACCCCATGGCCATTAAAAGTTGTACAAATCATGACGCTGCACTCCACGGTTTAGGTTCTAGGGGGCGCCAAAGATAACCCAAAAGTCCACATTCTTAATAGTCTTATAACTTTTTATTTTTGTCCTCACTGGCCTCCAAGTTTTCTAGGATGATGCAATGTCCAGCCATCAACACATTTGTAAAGGAATTTTTACTCCCGAAAAGAGCGCCCCCCCATGGCAGGAGAAAAAAGTCCATTTTTTCTTGTCCCCTAAGGTGAAAAAACACATTGTTGACTGTCACGCCTATACGCTTTGTCAAAATGACACAAAATTTGACACACACGTGTATCTCAATAAGATCTACGAAAAAGTCAATGGGCACGTATCTGTAAAATGTACGGTTAAAGGGCTATTTCGCATTTTTTGCCGATTCGCACACATTGGAATGTGGCTAACTCCTCCTAAGGCTTTCTTCCCACCGACACCAAATTTGCTCAAGCCGATCTACATCCCATGGCCATTCAAAGTTGTAAAAATCATGCCGCTGCACCCCATGGTTTACGTTCTAGGGGGCGCCAAAGATGACCCAAATATCCACATTCTTAAAAGAATCCACATCCCCCCCCCCATGGCAGGAGAAAAAGTCCAGTTAACCCTGCCCATCGCTCAATGGCTCAATCGCATCGCTCTCCTGGCAACACCGTAAGGAGGAGCAACTTGCCATTTGGATATATCCTAGCTGTGTTTGTGCCCTCACTCATGGTCCAGACTTTTTTCAAATAGGACATGTAGTTTGTCTGCAGCGACCGTTTTGGTAGAAACTGCGCCTCCCATTCATTATAATGGGAAATGACCACAGACAAGTGCGCACACCATCTTTGGACCTTGAGTGTGATGCGATCGGGAGGGGGAGGCGGTCGCGCTGGGGGCGGCGCGACACGGCTCGGGCCCGACAGTGCCCCACCGGGGCCCTAGTTATTTTTCTGCCCCTTTGAACTGGAAAATGGCCCACTTCCCACTGGTGAAAACTCATGAAATTTGGCAGGACGACCGGGCCTGGTGAAAAATTCGATATTCTGAAGTCATCCAAACAATCAAATGCAAAATGGCTCCATAGCGCCCCCTAAGGTGAAAAATTCACATGATTGAGTGTCACGCCTGTACGCTTTGTCAAAATGACACAAAATTTGACACACACGTGTATCTCAATAAGATCTACAAAAAAGTCAGTGCGGGCGTATCTGTCAAATGTACGGTTAAAGGGTTATTTCGCATTTTTTGCCGATCCGCACACATTGGAATTTCGCTAACTCCTCCGAAGGCTTTCGTTCCACCGGCACCACATTTGCTCAGGCCAATCTACACCCCATGGCCATTAAAAGTTGTACAAATCATGACGCTGCACCCCACGGTTTACGTTCTAGGGGGCGCCAAAGATAACCCAAAAATCCACAGTCTTAAAAGTCTTATAACTTTTTATTTTTGTCCTCACTGGCCTCCAAGTTCTCTAGGATGATGCAATGTCCAGCCATCAACACATTTGTGAAGGAATTTTTACTCGCCAAAGAGCGCCCCCCCATGGCAGGAGAAAAAAGTCCATTTTTTCTTGTCTCCTAAGGCGAAAATTCACACTATTGAGTGTCACGCCTATACGCTTTGTCATATTGACACAAAAATTGACACACACATGTATCTCAATAAGATCTACAAAAAAGTCAGTGCGGGCGTATCTGTCAAATGTACGGTTAAAGGGCTATTTCGCATTTTTTGCCGATCCGCACACATTGGAATTTCGCTAACTCCTCCGAAGGCTTTCGTTCCAAAGGCACCACATTTGCTCAGGCCAATCTACACCCCATGGCCATTAAAAGTTGTACAAATCATGACGCTGCACCCCACGGTTTACGTTCTAGGGGGCGCCAAAGATAACCCAAAAATCCACAGTCTTAAAAGTCTTATAACTTTTTATTTTTGTCCTCACTGGCCTCCAAGTTCTCTAGGATGATGCAATGTCCAGCCATCAACACATTTGTGAAGGAATTTTTACTCGCCAAAAGAGCGCCCCCCCATGGCAGGAGAAAAAAGTCCATTTTTTCTTGTCTCCTAAGGCGAAAATACACATTGTTGACTGTCACGCCTTTACGCTTTGTCAAAATGACACAAAATTTGACACACACATGTATCTCAATAAGATCTACGAAAAAGTCAATGTGAGCGTATCTGTTCAATGTACGGTTAAAGGGCTATTTCGCATTTTTGGCCGATTCGCACACATTGGAATGTGGCTAACTCCTCCTAAATCTTTTGTCCCATCGGCTTCAAATTTGCTCAGGTCAATCTACACCCCATGGCCATTCAAAGTTGTACAAATCATGACGCTGCACCCCACAGTTTACGTTCTAGGGGGCGCCAAAGAGGACCCAATTATCCACATTTTTAAAAGTCTTATAACTTTTTATTTTTGTCCTCACTGGCCTCCAAGTTTTCTAGGATGATGCAATGTCCAGCCATCAACACATTTGTGAAGGAATTTTTTCTCCCCAAAAGAGCGCCCCCCCATGGCAGGAGAAAAAGTCAAGTTTTCCTGCCCATCGCTCAATGGCTCAAACGCATCGCTCTCTCGGCAAAACCGAAAGGAGGAGCAACTTGCCATTTGGATATATACTAGCTGTGTTTGTGCCCTCACTCATGGTCCAGACTTTTTTCAAAAAGGACATGGAGTTTGTCTGCAGCGAGCGTTTTGGTAGAAACTGCGCCTCCCATTCATTATAATGGTAAATGACCACAGACAAGTGCGCACACCATCTTTGGACCTTGAGTGTGACGCGATCGGGAGGGGTAGGCGGTCGCGCTGGGGGCGGCACGACACGGCTCGGGCCCGCCAGTGCCCCAACGGGGCCCTAGTTAGGGCCCGAGCGTAGCTGCTAAGCAGCTGCGAGAGCCCTCTTGTTCCTGATGGATTCTTCTTTCGTTATTTTTCCTCCGCTTTAAACTGGAAAATGGCCCACTTCCCACTGGCGAAAACTCAGGAAATTTGGCAGGACGACCGGGCCTGGTGAAAAATTCGATATTCTGAAGTCGCCCAAACAATAAAATGCAAAATGGCTCCATAGCGCCCCCTAAGGCGAAAATTCACACTATTGACTGTCACGCCTGTACGCTTTGTCATATTGACACAAAAATTGACACACACGTGTATCTCAATACGGTCTATGAAAAAGTCAGCGCGGGCGCATCTGTGAAATGTACGGTTAGAGGGTTATTTCGCATTTTTTGCCGATCTGCACACATTGGAATTTCGCTAACTCCTCCGAAGGCATTCGTTCCACCGGCACCACATTTGCTCAGGCCAATCTACACCCCATGGCCATTAAAAGTTGTACAAATCATGACGCTGCACCCCACAGTTTACGTTCTAGGGGGCGCCAAAGATAACCCAAAAATCCACAGTCTTAAAAGTCTTATAACTTTTTATTTTTGTCCTCACTGGCCTCCAAGTTCTCTAGGATGATGCAATGTCCAGCCATCAACACATTTGTGAAGGAATTTTTACTCCCCAAAAGAGCGCCCCCACATGGCAGGAGAAAAAAGTCCATTTTTTCTTGTCCCCTAAGGTGAAAATACACATTGTTGAGTGTCACGCCTATACACTTTGTCATATTGACCCAAAATTTGACAATCACGTGTATCTCAATAAGATCTACGAAAAAGTCAATGGGCACGATCTGTAAAATGTACGGTTAAAGGGTTATTTCGCATTTTTTCCCGATCCGCACACATTGGAATTTCGCTAACTCCTCCTATGGCTTTAGTTCCACCGCCACCAAATTTGCTCAGGCCAATCTACACCCCATGGCCATTAAAAGTTGTACAAATCATGACGCTGCACTCCAGAGTTTAGGTTCTAGGGGGCGCCAAAGATAACCCAAAAATCCACAGTCTTAAAAGTCTTATAACTTTTTATTTTTGTCCTCACTGGCCTCCAAGTTTTCTAGGATGATGCAATGTCCAGCCATCAACACATTTGCAAAGGAATTTTTACTCCCGAAAAGAGCGCCCCCCATGGCAGGAGAAAAAAGTCCATTTTTTCTTGTCCCCTAAGGTGAAATAACACATTGTTGACTGTCACGCCTATGCGCTTTGTCAAAATGACACAAAATTTGACACACACGTGTATCTCAATAAGATCTACGAAAAAGTCAATGGGCACGTATCTGTAAAATGTACGGTTAAAGGGCTATTTCGCATTTTTTGCCGATTCGCACACATTGGAATGTGGCTAACTCCTCCTAAGGCTTTCTTCCCACCAACACCAAATTTGCTCAAGCCGATCTACATCCCATGGCCATTCAAAGTTGTAAAAATCATGCCGCTGCACCCCATGGTTTACGTTCTAGGGGGCGCCAAAGATGACCCAAATATCCACATTCTTAAAAGAATCCACATCCCCCCCCCACCAAGGCAGGAGAAAAAGTCCAGTTAACCCTGCCCATCGCTCAATGGCTCAATCGCATCGCTCTCCTGGCAACACCGTAAGGAGGAGCAACTTGCCATTTGGATATATCCTAGCTGTGTTTGTGCCCTCACTCATGGTCCAGACTTTTTTCAAATAGGACATGTAGTTTGTCTGCAGCGACCGTTTTGGTAGAAATTGCGCCTCCCATTCATTATAATGGGAAATGACCACAGACAAGTGCGGACACCATCTTTGGACCTTGAGTGTGATGCGATCGGGAGGGGGAGGCGGTCGCGCTGGGGGCGGCGCGACGCGGCTCGGGCCCGACAGTGCCCCACCGGGGCCCTAGTTAGGGCCCGAGCGTAGCTGCTAAGCAGCTGCGAGAGCCCTATTATTCCTGATGGATTCTTCTTTCTTCTTCTTATTATTATTTTTCTGCCCCTTTGAACTGGAAAATGGCCCACTTCCCACTGGTGAAAAGTCATGAAATTTGGCAGGACGACCGGGCCTGGTGAAAAATTCGATATTCTGAAGTCGCCCAAAAAATCAAATGCAAAATGGCTCCATAGCGCCCCCTAAGGTGAAAAATTCACATGATTGAGTGTCACGCCTGTACGCTTTGTCAAAATGACACAAAATTTGACACACACGTGTATCTCAATAAGATCTACAAAAAAGTCAGTGCGGGCGTATCTGTCAAATGTACGGTTAAAGGGCTATTTTGCATTTTTTGCCGATCCGCACACATTGGAATTTCGCTAACTCCTCCGAAGGCTTTCGTTCCACCGGCACCAAATTTGCTCAGGCCAATCTACACCCCATGGCCATTAAAAGTTGTACAAATCATGACGCTGCATCCCACGGTTTACGTTCTAGGGGGCGCCAAAGATAACCCAGAAATCCACATTCTTAAAAGTCGTATAACTTTTTATTTTTGTCCTCACTGGCCTCCAAGTTTTCTAGGATGATGCAATGTCCAGCCATCAACACATTTGTGAAGGAATTTTTACTCCCCAAAAGAGCGCCCCCCCATGGCAGGAGAAAAAAGTCCATTTTTTCTTGTCTCCTAAGGCGAAAATTCACACTATTGACTGTCACGCCTTTACGCTTTGTCATATTGACACAAAAATTGACACACACATGTATCTCAATAAGATCTACAAAAAAGTCAGTGCGGGCGTATCTGTCAAATGTACGGTGAAAGGGATATTTCGCATTTTTTGCCGATCCGCACACATTGGAATTTCGCTAACTCCTCCGAAGGCTTTCGTTCCAAAGGCACCACATTTGCTGAGGCCAATCTACACCCCATGGCCATTAAAAGTTGTACAAATCATGATGCTGCACCCCACGGTTTACGTTCTAGGGGGCGCCAAAGATAACCCAAAAATCCACAGTCTTAAAAGTCTTATAACTTTTTATTTTTGTCCTCACTGGCCTCCAAGTTCTCTAGGATGATGCAATGTCCAGCCATCAACACATTTGTGAAGGAATTTTTACTCGCCAAAAGAGCGCCCCCCCATGGCAGGAGAAAAAAGTCCATTTTTTCTTGTCTCCTAAGGCGAAAATACACATTGTTGACTGTCACGCCTTTACGCTTTGTCAAAATGACACAAAATTTGACACACACATGTATCTCAATAAGATCTACAAAAAAGTCAGTGCGGGCGTATCTGTCAAATGTACGGTTAAAGGGTTATTTCGCATTTTTTGCCGATCCGCACACATTGGAATTTCGCTAACTCCTCCTAAATCTTTTGTCCCATCGGCTTCAAATTTGCTCAGGTCAATCTACACCCCATGGCCATTCAAAGTTGTACAAATCATGACGCTGCACCCCACAGTTTACGTTCTAGGGGGCGCCAAAGAGGACCCAAATATCCACATTTTTAAAAGTCTTATAACTTTTTATTTTTGTCCTCACTGGCCTCCAAGTTTTCTAGGATGATGCAATGTCCAGCCATCAACACATTTGTGAAGGAATTTTTCTCCCCAAAAGAGCGCCCCCCCATGGCAGGAGAAAAAGTCAAGTTTTTCCTGCCCATCGCTCAATGGCTCAAACGCATCGCTCTCTCTGCAAAACCGAAAGGAGGAGCAACTTGCCATTTGGATATATACTAGCTGTGTTTGTGCCCTCACTCATGGTCCAGACTTTTTTCAAATAGGACATGTAGTTTGTCTGCAGCAAGCGTTTTGGTAGAAACTGCGCCTCCCATTCATTATAATGGGAAATGACCACAGACAAGTGCGCACACCATCTTTGGACCTTGAGTGTGACGCGATCGGGAGGGGGAGGCGGTCGCGCTGGGGGCGGCGCGACGCGGCTCGGGCCCGACAGTGCCCCACCGGGGCCCTAGTTAGGGCCCGAGCCAGCTGCAGAGCAGCCGGGCGTAGAGCCCTATTATTCCTGTATAGGTTTTTCTTTCTTCTTTCTTTCTTTCTTTCTTCTTATTTTTCCTCCCCTTTGAAGGGGAAAATGGCCCACTTCCCACTGGCGAAAACTCATGAAATTTGGCAGGACGAATGGGCCTGGTGAAAAATTCGATATTCTGAAGTCGCCCAAACAATAAAATGCAAAATGGCTCCATAGCGCCCCCTAAGGTGAAAATTCACACTATTGACTGTCACGCCTTTACGCTTTGTAATATTGACACAAAAATTGACACACACATGTATCTCAATAAGATCTACAAAAAAGTCAGTGCGGGCGTATCTGTCAAATGTACGGTTAAAGGGTTATTTCGCATTTTTTGCCGATCCGCACACATTGGAATTTCGCTAACTCCTCCGAAGGCTTTCGTTCCACCGGCACCACATTTGCTCAGGCCAATCTACACCCCATGGCCATTAAAAGTTGTACAAATCATGACGCTGCACCCCACGGTTTACGTTCTAGGGGGCGCCAAAGATAACCCAAAAATCCACAGTCTTAAAAGTCTTATAACTTTTTATTTTTGTCCTCACTGGCCTCCAAGTTCTCTAGGATGATGCAATGTCCAGCCATCAACACATTTGTGAAGGAATTTTTACTCGCCAAAAGAGCGCCCCCCCATGGCAGGAGAAAAAAGTCCATTTTTTCTTGTCTCCTAAGGCGAAAATTCACACTATTGACTGTCACGCCTTTACGCTTTGTCATATTGACACAAAAATTGACACACACATGTATCTCAATAAGATCTACGAAAAAGTCAATGCGAGCGTATCTGTTCAATGTACGATTAAAGGGCTATTTCGCATTTTTTGCCGATTCGCACACATTGGAATGTGGCTAACTCCTCCTAAATCTTTTGTCCCATCGGCTTCAAATTTGCTCAGGTCAATCTACACCCCATGGCCATTCAAAGTTGTACAAATCATGACGCTGCACCCCACAGTTTACGTTCTAGGGGGTGCCAAAGAGGACCCAAATATCCACATTTTTAAAAGTCTTATAACTTTTTATTTTTGTCCTCACTGGCCTCCAAGTTTTCTAGGATGATGCAATGTCCAGCCATCAACACATTTGTGAAGGAATTTTTACTCCCCAAAAGAGCGCCCCCCCATGGCAGGAGAAAAAGTCAAGTTTTTCCTGCCCATCGCTCAATGGCTCAAACGCATCGCTCTCTCGGCAAAACCGAAAGGAGGAGCAACTTGCCATTTGGATATATACTAGCTGTGTTTGTGCCCTCACTCATGGTCCAGACTTTTTTCAAAAAGGACATGGAGTTTGTCTGCAGCGAGCGTTTTGGTAGAAACTGCGCCTCCCATTCATTATAATGGTAAATGACCACAGACAAGTGCGCACACCATCTTTGGACCTTGAGTGTGACGCGATCGGGAGGGGTAGGCGGTCGCGCTGGGGGCGGCGCGACACGGCTCGGGCCCGCCAGTGCCCCAACGGGGCCCTAGTTCTTCTTATTTTTCCTCCCCTTTGAAGGGGAAAATGGCCCACTTCCCACTGGCGAAAACTCATGAAATTTGGCAGGACGAATGGGCCTGGTGAAAAATTCGATATTCTGAAGTCGCCCAAACAATAGAATGCAAAATGGCTCCATAGCGCCCCCTAAGGTGAAAATTCACACTATTGACTGTCACGCCTTTACGCTTTGTCATATTGACACAAAAATTGACACACACATGTATCTCAATATGATCTACAAAAAAGTCAGTGCGGGCGTATCTGTCAAATGTACGGTTAAAGGGTTATTTCGCATTTTTTGCCGATCCGCACACATTGGAATTTCGCTAACTCCTCCGAAGGCTTTCGTTCCACCGGCACCACATTTGCTCAGGCCAATCTACACCCCATGGCCATTTAAAGTTGTACAAATCATGACGCTGCACCCCACGGTTTACGTCCTAGGGGGTGCCAAAGATAACCCAAAAATCCACAGTCTTAAAAGTCTTATAACTTTTTATTTTTGTCCTCACTGGCCTCCAAGTTCTCTAGGATGATGCAATGTCCAGCCATCAACACATTTGTGAAGGAATTTTTACTCGCCAAAAGAGCGCCCCCCCATGGCAGGAGAAAAAAGTCCATTTTTTCTTGTCTCCTAAGGCAAAAATTCACACTATTGACTGTCACGCCTTTACGCTTTGTCATATTGACACAAAAATTGACACACACATGTATCTCAATAAGATCTACAAAAAAGTCAGTGCGGGCGTATCTGTCAAATGTACGGTTAAAGGGCTATTTCGCATTTTTTGCCGATCCGCACACATTGGAATTTCGCTAACTCCTCTGAAGGCTTTCGTTCCAAAGGCACCACATTTGCTCAGGCCAATCTACACCCCATGGCCATTAAAAGTTGTACAAATCATGACGCTGCACCCCACGGTTTACGTTCTAGGGGGCGCCAAAGATAACCCAAAAATCCACAGTCTTAAAAGTCTTATAACTTTTTATTTTTGTCCTCACTGGCCTCCAAGTTCTCTAGGATGATGCAATGTCCAGCCATCAACACATTTGTGAAGGAATTTTTACTCGCCAAAAGAGCGCCCCCTCCATGGCAGGAGAAAAAAGTCCATTTTTTCTTGTCTCCTAAGGCGAAAATACACATTGTTGACTGTCACGCCTTTACGCTTTGTCAAAATGACACAAAATTTTACACACACATGTATCTCAATAAGATCTACGAAAAAGTCAGTGCGAGCGTATCTGTTCAATGTACGGTTAAAGGGCTATTTCGCATTTTTTGCCGATTCGCACACATTGGAATGTGGCTAACTCCTCCTAAATCTTTTGTCCCATCGGCTTCAAATTTGCTCAGGTCAATCTACACCCCATGGCTATTCAAAGTTGTACAAATCATGACGCTGCACCCCACAGTTTACGTTCTAGGGGGCGCCAAAGAGGACCCAAATATCCACATATTTAAAAGTCTTATAACTTTTTATTTTTGTCCTCACTGGCCTCCAAGTTTTCTAGGATGATGCAATGTCCAGCCATCAACACATTTGTGAAGGAATTTTTTCTCCCCAAAAGAGCGCCCCCCATGGCAGGAGAAAAAGTCAAGTTTTTCCTGCCCATCGCTCAATGGCTCAAACGCATCGCTCTCTCGGCAAAACCGAAAGGAGGAGCAACTTGCCATTTGGATATATACTAGCTGTGTTTGTGCCCTCACTCATGGTCCAGACTTTTTTCAAAAAGGACACGTAGTTTTTCTGCAGCGAGCGTTTTGGTAGAGACTGTGCCTCCCATTCATTATAATGGGAAATGACCAAAGACAGTTGCGCACACCATCTTTGGACCCTGACTGTGACGTCACAGTTTGAGATACAAATGTTATTTGACCTCTGACCTTTAGTGGAGACCCTAACCTTTCAACGCGCAAAAGCGTTGGACACAAACTGGCGGGAAGAACCACAAACGCCGATGAAGGATAAGGGTCTTTGTAGTGATGGGCGTTACCAGAGAGGGCGATGGCCAGAGGAAGAGAATGGGACGGGGAGGCGATCGCGTTGGGGAGGGGGCGCGACACGGCTCGGGCCCGCCAGTGCCCCAACGGGGCCCTAGTTTCTTCTTATTTTTCCTCCCCTTTGAAGGGGAAAATGGCCCACTTCCCACTGGCGAAAACTCAGGAAATTTGGCAGGACGACCGGGCCCGGTAAAAAATTCGATATTCTGAAGTCGCCCAAACAATAAAATGCAAAATGGCTCCATAGCGCCCCCTAAGGCGAAAATTCACACTATTGACTGTCACGCCTGTACGCTTTGTCATTTTGACACAAAAATTGACACACACGTGTATCTCAATACGGTCTACGAAAAAGTCAGCGCGGGCGCATCTGTGAAATGTACGGTTAGAGGGTTATTTCGCATTTTTTGCCGATCTGCACACATTGGAATTTCGCTAACTCCTCCGAAGGCTTTCGTTCCACCGGCACCACATTTGCTCAGGCCAATCTACACCCCATGGCCATTAAAAGTTGTACAAATCATGACGCTGCACCCCACGGTTTACGTTCTAGGGGGCGCCAAAGATAACCCAAAAATCCACAGTCTTAAAAGTCTTATAACTTTTTATTTTTGTCCTCACTGGCCTCCAAGTTCTCTAGGATGATGCAATGTCCAGCCATCAACACATTTGTGAAGGAATTTTTACTCACGAAAAGAGCGCCCCCCCATGGCAGGAGAAAAAAGTCCATTTTTTCTTGTCCCCTAAGGTGAAAAAACACATTGTTGACTGTCACGCCTATACGCTTTGGCAAAATGACACAAAATTTGACACACACATGTATCTCAATAAGATCTACGAAAAAGTCAATGTGCACGTATCTGTAAAATGTACGGTTAAAGGGTTATTTCGCATTTTTTCCCGATCCGCACACATTGGAATTTCGCTAACTCCTCCGAAGGCTTTAGTTCCACCGCCACCAAATTTGCTCAGGCCAATCTACACCCCATGGCCATTAAAAGTTGTAAAAATCATGACGCTGCACTCCACGGTTTAGGTTCTAGGGGGCGCCAAAGATAACCCAAAAATCCACATTCTTAATAGTCTTATAACTTTTTATTTTTGTCCTCACTGGCCTCCAAGTTTTCTAGGATGATGCAATGTCCAGCCATCAACACATTTGTAAAGGAATTTTTACTCCCGAAAAGGGCGCCCCCCCATGGCAGGAGAAAAAAGTCCATTTTTTCTTGTCCCCTAAGGTGAAAAAACACATTGTTGACTGTCACGCCTATACGCTTTGTCAAAATGATACAAAATTTGACACACACGTGTATCTCAATAAGATCTACGAAAAAGTCAATGTGCACGTATCTGTAAAATGTACGGTTAAAGGGTTATTTCGCATTTTTTCCCGATCCGCACACATTGGAATTTCGCTAACTCCTCCGAAGGCTTTGGTTCCACCGCCACCAAATTTGCTCAGGCCAATCTACACCCCATGGCCATTAAAAGTTGTACAAATCATGACGCTGCACCCCACGGTTTACGTTCTAGGGGGCGCCAAAGATAACCCAAAA